AAATCACTCTGTGAAAAATAGTATGGAAGATAAGGGTGCAACTATGAATATGGCATGTGATTAGTAACACCCCAGCCCTCAAACACCACTTGTGTGATTTCTGCTCTGCTCCCCACTTCATGCTTTTCTTCCTTCATAACTGAGCACTAATGCCTGTTGAGTGGCTTCAGCAGTGCCAGGCAGTACACTTCTTGGACTGTTTCTGCAAGGAAATGAAAGGTGATGCAGGACACGTGAAGTCCTGGCCACAATGCAGTCAGTAGGATTTTTGGTTTAGACCTTTGTAGTGCCAGGATTTCTCACCCGTTTGCAGTGATGTCATATTCAAATCTGAACCAGTAGATGTTACCTTAAAATGAAACTCTTTTGCCCCAACAGCAAAACAGTGCCGATGACTGTTACCTATTTTGTGAAGTGTCCTGAGATGGTGGCCAACAGGGTTGAACAAGAGCGAGGAAGGATTTATATCAGAGAGCACAAAAGGCAGTAACTCTATGTAGTAGGCAATAAAGGATTAAAAAACACATCCTGTGTTTAACAGGTAACGTGACACAGCTCTGCCTCAAGAGCTCTAGGGAACCATTTCAAGTGCTCCCTTTTCACATCCTATAATAACTCTACTGGCATGACCTCTCCCAAATGGGAAATGGCACAATCTACTCAATAAAAACCTCTGTTGGTTTTCTTTTCTCTTCTCCTGGTATCAGCTGAGCACTACACGAAACCAAAAGAGAAGACTGTCCCTGCCCTCCTTGTCTATCCCCAGAATTTTGATCCTGAAGGGGAAAGAAGCAGCGGGGCAAGGCACACTGGAGAAAACATTAGATGCAGAGTGTAGCTAAGGCTGGGGCTGTAAAAGAAGCAAAAAAGAAAGTTTAGTAATGAGTCCAACTGGAGTAGGTCCTCCTCTAAAAAGCTCAGCCTAGGATCACCATTGGTAGTTTTTACACTCTAAGCCAGAGTGCAGGCAGTCAACAGTACGACCCAGAGAAACACACACCCAACAAGCTGGCTGAAACAACCATCAATGACTGCTTTAATGAACCGGCTCCGCTTGGTTGTACAGAGAGCGAGGTGTGTGCTCAGGTGGCAGGTGACAATGCTGCAGCTGGCCAACGGGGAGTGGGCAGCCTTTACCAACACAGTCACTGCATCGCCGGTGCTCTTGCAATGACTGGCGAGCAAAGAAGTGATGTTAACAAAGCAGCGATGGGATATTTACCTTACGGTTACTTTTCAGGAGTTTACTTAAAACACTGGGCTGATGTAGGTATGAAAATGCCACATAGCAAATTACATGATTTTGAAACACATATCTACAATAAAAACTGAAAGCTTCAGGTTTTCCTGTGGTTATGAGCCTGCAAGCCATTCCACACAGGCAGATCTTTGTGTCCCTGATTAACCTCAGTCAACTAACTTAAACAGGGCTGTGTCTGATTAAGGTCCACATTCGCAAGCTTCAGAAAACGCTTTGTATAAAAATTTGGTTGCTGGCCAACCCTGATTGCTGCATGTAAATTACATCTGATAGGAGCAAAATGTGTCCATTCGTGAGAATTTAGACTGAAATTTCCTTAGAGACCAGGACAGCACTATTTTTCTTGCTGCTTTTGTAGTCACTGCCTTAGCATTACTACCCTTTTCTTGCCAACGTCAAAGCGGAGTGGGGGAGAGGTTATTTTTCAAAAGACAGGATAAATCCCCTCGCCTCTAACTTCTGAAGGCTTCAGTTTATGACTCACTGTGTCCACAGTGAAATGAAGCTGTGATCACAACTCCAGACCCGATCCAACACACATTGAAATCAATGGGAGTCTTTCCGTTGACTTCAATGGAAGCTGGGTCACGCCCTTAGCAGACACTAGCTGCGCACATAACAAAACCACCCTCCAGTTTTTGTGGAAGGCAGAAAACATGGTCAGCCTGGAAACAGCGGGGATCTCTGAGGTCAGAGATTGTCTACAGCAAAAAAACTAATACAGGAAAAACCAACAGAGAAATGCTTCAAGTGCACCTGTCTGCACTCTGCCTCTTTCTAGCCCTATCAGTCCAGACGAAACTGCGTCCAGAGAAAATATTTATCAAAAATGCAAAAAGAGCCAATCTTGGCAAAAGCCAAAATCTGGCCCAGAGTAGAAAATGTAGAATAATTATTCAATCTTAAATAAAGTTTTCAAATAAAATAAACATAAGCTTGAAGAAATGAGCTCAGTACAACTTAGAAGCTAGAAAAGACTTGCATCGGACTTTGTAGCGCAGTTTTACGTTTGTCAAACATGAAGGTCAACCTAGGACTTCTAAAAGAAGGGGAGTATGAGCACAGCCAGTGTCAGACTCTATGTTGTATGTTAGCAGACACCAGCAAACAGCTGTATATTGCCTTTAACATTCTTCATATGGCTCCTATATGAAAACAGTAATAGAGAAAAAAGCTTACAATGAGGGAAAGCTAAGCTTGAAAATGAAACACATAAAACAGTTTTAAGAGTGTTTGGGGACTGACTTCCTCGGTCAGAGAAAGGACTGAGGAAGAGCATACACTTTGGAAAGATTAAAACAACGACTGTGATGTTGGTAAGAAATTGATCATTGTCAGGGAAAAAAGCCAGCAGCAAAAAGGAATATTGATCTTTCAATAGCGGAGACCATTTAGTTTGAATGATACAGCATTTGTAGGCTGTTCTTCACCTTGGCTTACACATCCCCAGGACTGACGCATTATTATTTGCACAATTTTTAGGTGGGAGAGGCAGAGGTAGGGGCAGACTGGTTACCCTCACACTGGCAGGTATATCTTGACATGGTGTTTGAGAGTTACCGACGCTTGGTACCCAGAAACGCCTCACGCAGGAAGGCCTCTCTGGGCTGATCATTTCTTCCACCCAACCTGTCAGGGCCTGAGCTTGGCAGGTTGAGGAAAAAAAAAGAGGCCCTTCTTCAGTCTGCTTTTTTTGTACACCTATTTTTCAGCAAATCAAGAAATGCGCAATGACACAGTGATTTTGTTGGGTTAGTTATGGGCTTAACAGATACATCCTGTATAAATTAAGAATAGGGAGGTCCTCCAGGGCTGGGCGGCCTGTGCAATGTGAATGAGTGCGCTGTACCACAGGTAACAGATGCATCCTGACACCCTGCACTGACTTAGCACTTGCAGGAACCGAGAATGATCAGAGACCTTGTGAAATGTGACTCAAACTTGTTAACAAATTACTGGGCTGGAACCCCCCCTGCCCCTGCCCCCCCCGACACTATTGCCATGTTTGAGCGTAATCTCTTCATTATACTTCATTATACCCATTACACCTCACATTTTGGGCTGTATTTTTGGACTCGCTTCCCATTCCATTTAAAAAACAAAACAGTTGGGAGAGAGGAATATCTCCGAAGGTAAAAAGCTGACACTGACACTGTCGATCATAAATCTTGTGCTATATACACACACACACACACACACACACACGGGGAATATATAAGTCACGTCGGTGGCAGGTTTTCTACCGCCGATTATGCCCAGCAGCTGCCTCCCCGCAGCCGTGC